ACCATGGTAATATAACAGAAACACAATGTAAGACAACATATTAACTGAATTTTGAAAGATGAGGAAGTTAGTGAATGAAGATGAGATAGCCATCTTGAATGAGAATTATGAAATATGAAATATGTACTTCCCTTTCATTTGACTTGATAAATAAGGGCTTTATTGGTCCTGAAGTATTCCATGGAGAAAAGGCTGATGAAAATGGTCCATGGCTGAGGAAAACTACAGGAAGGCATGAGAGTTTCAATAAGCAAAAGAAGTTTTCAACAGGCACCAGATTCAGGGAATAGAGATATAGATTAGAAAACTGACTAGATGAGGCCCCATAATTGTAAATAAAAAGATGAAGCTGAAAGAGAATTGCTGGGCACAAAGACACAGGTGAGAGGGAACATTTATTTTTTTCTTTTTTGCTGTGAAAGCTAGCGGACACATCTTTTTAAGTCTTTTGGGTGAGGAAGAAACTAAGCAACTATGAGAGAAGCAGTGTCAATTCTTTGCTCATCATGACTATACAAATGTGACAAAAGTTCTGTTAATAAAATTATTTTACATTTTTTCTGAACTTGTAGAATTTATATTTACAATCTGCATTCCATCTTAGATCAAGGCAACTGTTAAAACCTTACTTTTTGCTCTTTATGTTTCCATGTCTAATTTCAAAATAAGAGCTTTACAATTAGATTTGATACAGTACATTGTTATCTGCAAGATTTCAGCCACAGGCTGCCAAAGGCTGCCAAAGGCTCCAATAGAATTTAAAAAGTATGTTCTCCAGGCCCAAATAGATGCAAGCCAAGCCTCAAAATAGAATCTTGAGTCAATAAATCTGGTATATGACTCAGTGAGTGGTGACAGAAAAATAACTGGATTTGATACAAATGTATGAAAAAGCTAACTCTTGAGAACTTACAGGGAACAATCTTGAGTGCTTCTAAATGAAAACTAAGTGATAATACTAGAGTGATGATTTTCTCTCTGAAGGAAACTAAAGATTCTTAAGGATGCTTTCATTTGTTCAGTGCCTGCCATAATAATATGTAGTATATTTTGATATAATTAGGTTAATGACATAATAATGTTCTGCTCATAGCTTTCTTGTAGACTCTGACAAAAATGTAAATTTTCTAATGGGAAACATGCACAATTGCATCTGTACATTAAATATAGTGTCTGTTCTCAGAGGATCTAGTTAAGCCTAGAAGTGCCTCCTTTGACCAAACAACCAACAAAATATGTCTTAGAGAAAGATTTGAAATCTTTTCTCTGAGAATTTTTACGAATAGATAGGAAGCAAATTTTTCTTGACAGTAAACGCAGGCATTTCCTTATTCGAACTAAGTAGTCATGCTTGCCTCCTTTGTGGCGGGGCACATGCTTTGACTAGCTCTTCTAAATGTCATGTGGTACCACTGCTCATAAAAAAGCACCCAGTCATCCTTTATTGTATAAAGTAAAAAAAAAAAAAAACCCAAACATAATAGTGAATAGAGTGAGCAATGCTTTTCATTGAGATTAGGTGTTGTGTTTTGCTTTCACTGTAATGTAAGCATCCCTAATATCTATGCCATCAGCAGGTACATGGTTGTGTGTAATGGGCTTTTTAAAGCAGTTTAAAACCATTGTGCTACAAAGTTTATGAACTCAACTGCAAAATATGTGTGAAGAGTATTATAATGTTAAGAATACTATGCACAAGCAACAGGCTCAACATTTAATGCAGTAATTGTATTACTGTTGTTTGATAAACATCTATAATATGCTGAAACTTGAAGTGGCCAGTAATTCCTTTATTCAACTCATTTGTTGTTCCATTTTCAAGAATATTGTCATACAAAATTGTATTCTAGAAATGTCTGTTTATACCATTTTTAAGTCTGGATTTTGGTAGGAAATGGTATGCTTTAGCCAAATTTAGTCATTAAAAAATTAAAACTCATCCAAGGCTCCTCCGGAAATGGTTAAAGGAACAACCTTGACACATATGCGATTGTACGTGTATGATACAGCAGAAAATTATTGTGACAGATTTTTCTGAGAACTCTTTTGTATTCACCGTACTGCTTTACATTACTAATCAGCAATAACGTTTTAAGGTACTCATTGTTATCAGTTGTTTTGTATTCTTGATGAAATACAGCTTTGTGCTATTTTATATTCATTTCATGTCAAATTTAATAATCATACATATTTGTATAACTTAATTTGACATTTGAAGAGCCAAGCATCAAACAGGATAAGCTTTATGTGAACCAGTTTGACATTTTTGTAGACAAGGGTGACTCCAAATAGGATTAAAATCCCTCTAATCCAGATGGAACAAATCAACCAAGAGATGAAGTGCATAATATGTATCTACTTGGTAAGGCAGTTTGGGGAAAAGTTATTATTCTTTGAGTAAATAGTAGAATGGATATTGTTGTGTGTATTAGGTGGTTTTTAATGCATTGAACTCATTTCAAGGCAGAAGTATACCTTGTTCATTGTTTTGTTTTGTTTTTTCAAAATTATTGTATTTCTGAAAGGTATATTGTATACACTCTTCAATGACCAAATGTTTTCATGTGTACTTTGATTTAAAGCAACACTTGATTTCATGTCAATTGTGTTCTAATTTATCCTCTGAAGAATTTAATACTGATTGATAAGAAGATAAAATTTAAAGAGATTATCAGTCTACTTTTTATGGAGAATAATGCTATACTATTATGTGTAAAATTTAAACTAGTAGAGAAATAACTTTGTAATAAACAGCGTTATATACGTGCTAAATTTTATATATATTCTATACAAAGTGTGTACATTGCAAGAAGTTATACTTGCATGTTTGGCAGTGCTTTAATAACCATGAAAATATTTTTGTAATAGATTTAATATTGATAACTAAATAACACATTCTATAATAATATTTAATCAGAGCAAATGTTACTAATTATAAAGTTATATGACTGTATGTTCCTCTAAATGTATAATATTGGCTTTATGGAAAAATCACAGCTAATCACTCACAGTACAAGACGGAGAGTTCATTTGCCATTCTTACTTTCTCAGCTCTGTATAGTAGCAATGCATTGAAAGTTTAAGTGCAACTCATAAGATTTCTGATTGCTACTCTAAAAGCATAAATAACACACAGAAACACAATCTGACCACAAACACATTCTTATTATTTAAATGACATGAATGTCTGCTAATGATCAGATTAATTAATTCTGAAAATATGCTTTACAGTTTACTTAGGGTTATGAGTTGTTAAGATTCAACAAATAAACTATTTCAATTACTTAGATGATTTAAGTACACATTATTTGTGTCATAAAACTTACTTTATTTTTGCAGATTTAAAAACAACAGTAATTAGAGTAAGTTCTTATTTGTTTCAGGCACAAAACTGATAATAATTCATTGAGAAAATGGTTTTAAGTTGTAAATGCTAATGCAAATCACATTTTAAACTCACGTTAACCCCACATCTAGTGACAAAAACAAATCTGTGATTACTCTGGCAACACAAACACTATACACGATGTGGCAATGAAAGCTCACAAAAAATAATAAAATGCTCAAAAGCTGCATACTTCGCAATAAGCTGTGACCAACCAGGTTTTGATGTATGTGACACTATTTTATATATATGTATATATATCACTTTCTAAAACACGAGTGATGAGGACACATCTATTATAGAACATCTGCTTCAATTTCATTCACATTTGAAATGCATATAATTCTCCTGCCTCTTTCAAACTCACAGAATACAAAGTGTCAACTGATTACTTTTGTATATGCGTAGAATCAGAAGTTGACCAAGTAATTTTTCTAATTCTCATAACAAACGAGAACTTCCTTAATTTTTCTTTTTTCTTTCTTTCTTTCTTTTCTTTTTTTTTTTTTTCTTTTTACAAGAGAAGGACGCTGCTAATGGATCCAGAGTGGTCAATTAGTCATGCTACCGTTTTGGCCAGAGAGAAATCTTGGTTAAATCTCTGTTAATGGTTTCAAGAATGGACTATTTAATACTAACATTTTGGCAGTGACATACATGAGAATGATGTTTAATAGAAATGAAGAAATTCTTAAATGTTAGCATTTCTTTATACAATACTTATCTTAACTAATGTATCCTCACTTCTCAGAGAAAATGGTGGGTTTTTTTTTTTTTTTACCATGAAGCTGAGGATTTACAGTAATTTAGGCTATATATTGTTTATTATAGAATTTTTAAATTGCAAAACCAGCCCATATTTTTTCCATAAAGCTTTCGTACGGATATATTTTTAATAAATTGAAAATATGTCCAAACATAGTAGCAAGTTTTGTTATATATATAATATATGTTATTATATATGCATACTTTGAGGGTTATTAAGATAAAATATTAGTAAATTACCCTTTTGCTTAACTTGTTTCTGCATCTATGATTCATCATTGTAACAAGATTTCTTTCCTGTTTTTAGTTTTTGACTTGGTTATTTACACATTTAGAACCACATAGATAACTCCCAAGTATCCACAATTATTTTGTTTTGCATCAATGTTGCCAGCAGTTTTCCAGCATTCTGTATCTAAATTTAGAGGACATTACAGAAAAATAATTATGACTTTTCATATGTGCTTCATGTACTTTTAGGGCTCTGATACAAGTAATTAAATTATACATAACTTTGCAAACATATGCCATACTTATAGTGAGCATACTTAATTATAAATAGTAACATGTGTTTGATACAAAATAAGTTATTCAGTCAATTTACGTCCAGCTTTTTTGCCTCAGATATAGTTTGTACAAGCAGCTGTATAAGTTCCTTTCATTGGAGCAAACAGTAATTCAGATGCACTGAATCAGATTTTGCATTCATTTTCAGTGGATCCATAAATGGAGTAAAATGAAGACTCAATGTAAGATATCTAATTTTATTTTTTGTTTACTTTATAATACGTATGTTGTGAAAGGAAAAGATTCTTGACCACACTTGAACATTGAAATTATCATTGGGATTAAATTTCAGTGTATTTTATAAAAAATATTACTTACTTTCATAGAAGTGAAGAGATACAATTGCACAATGGTGGTTACAATGGTAGAAATACATATTGCCAATAAAATGTTAGCAAGAGATTTAAAAATGACCATACAGCACCGCATCAAAGAATTGTGTTAACAGCATATTGGTTAATATTTTCCATATAAATGATGTACTTAAATATTTTTTTGAAATATATGTAGGGGAAAATATTTAAGCCTATTTCTTACCATAATATTTCCTGATGTGGAGCAGAAAGACATAAAAAATGACATTTTTTTTCATTAACAAAAAAATAAAGACATCCATGCATTTAAGCCACCATTAGTCTCTGACTCTACAATAAGGCATCATCAATCTTGCAAAACTATGACTTTAGCATTCTAAACTCTTTTCAGTACTTTTCATGTCAAGGACAGAATAGGCCTTGTGAATTTTGGAGTTAAGATATATTTCCAGTATGTTAACTTAGGCTCAGCTTTTGCTGCTGTTGCTATTTAACACCAACTTTACAATAAAATGTTTTGCCTAGGAGAAATGATGGAACGTCTAGTAGAGGAAGAAATAGAAGGGGTCCTAGAGAATTTATTACAAATGACACTGTTTGTATCAGTGAAAAGAAGTCACATTTGTCTATGTATCATCCTCAGTCTTAATGATATGGAAAAGGGTGACATTGAATAGGACCTGGTGGCCGTTGTTCCAGGCATAAAGAGCTCTATCTCTTGCATTGTAGTCAAGCATGGATATGTGGAAGTATTGGTTATGGAAGGGAATATCTGTGTACTCATATGTGGACGTTTTGGTGGAATAGGAGTAATACACCTTGGCTCCAGTTAGGTGAGAGTTGGTGACATACAGTGTCCCGCAAATCATGAAAGATTCCCCTGCACTTCTCTTGGGGTATCCAGTGCTCCAGCTCTTCGTCACCTCCAAAGTGTCTTGGTTAAGTTGGCTGATAACAATATTGCCCGCATTCTGGTTAGTTGCATACACAACCCATAGCCCAATTTCATCAGCCATTAGATCGATATCAGAGAATCCACCCCAGGTGTAAGGGTAGACGTTGTGAAAGCCAGCATACTCCAGACTTCGTTGTGCAAGCACTCTCCCAAGATCAAAGCTGTATTTGATGATAATATTACTCTGATACTTGTTAAAATAGAGTGAGCCATTGTAGACGACATGGTTAGTTCCTGCCCACTTGAAAGGGAGGTTGTATGTCCTTGATTCTGCCCCACTGACAAAGTCTCCAATTGATTTGTACTCACGCACAATCTTATTGTTTGTGTAGCTGTCCATGTACCAGACCTAGAAAGAAAAAAAAGTGATGTAACTGATTTCTGTATTTGTATTTTTCAATGAATCAAAATAAAAATAATAGGAGAATTGAAAATCTCCAGATTCTTAGTCTCTGATTACCACATTTATGTTACCGCTGATCTACTGAGTATGATAATATGAATACTCTGGTTTGTGCAACTATTGGCTTACTTTATATGGAAATAAAACATGTAATTTATTGATTTATATTTTCTTTTTGCTTAATTTTTGATTTTTAATGAGTCCATAATTAGTGAGCAAATAGAATATTTGTAAGCATTTTATATATCACTGCATTTGAGCCAACTTCCAGGAAATTATCTCAAACCACACTTTTCTTTGGAAAAATGTTTGTTCTACTTTTACATAAGTATCTATTTTCATTTATTATCATTATTATCATAGTCCCTAGTATTTCTACTACTACCCTCCCCCAAACCCTCCCAATTTGAGTTCTCGCAAATCATTACAACAGCATAGAGTTCCTCCTGAATAGTCCTCAGTCCATTATTGCAGATATGGACAAGGCAGAGTCCATCATCCAACTGTCAAGACACAACAGTTTTACTGGGAGTCCGTCCTCAATCCAGAAGTAGAGATGCACATTGCACTGTATGGTCACATCTAGACATGTCAGTCTCCACTACACAGTCACTAGTCATCCCCCTGAGTATTTTCTTGCAGATACCACAGAACCTTCAATCAACATTTGTTCTCTTAATCAAGGAATAGCACTACTACCATTAGATAGATAGATAGATAGATAGATAGATAGATAGATAGATAGATAGATAGATAGATAGATTTTTAAACTGTTATTGGAAAGGCAGATCAGAGAGACAAAGATCTTCTGTCTGCTGGTTCTGTCCCAAAATGATCTCAACAGCCAGAACAGAGCATATCCAAAGCCAAGAACCAGGAACTACTACCAGGTCTCCCACATAGGTGCAGGATCACAAGACTTTCTGCCTTCCTCTTTTGTTCATAGGTCATAAGCAGGGAGCTGGATGGAAAATGAAGCAGCTGGCACAGAAACTGGTATTGATATAGGATCCTGGCCCTTGCAAGTTGATAATTCAACCATTTAGCCATCAAGACAGGCTCAGCACTACTATCTTTTAATGAAACCATTTTAGTAACCTAAGGGGTAATCCTATTTGGAAGGAACTCCTGAGAATCTTAATTTCTACTCAGTTGGGTAAGGTAAAGGATTGAAAAATGGTAAATTTCAGTATGTTTATTTATATAGTACAGATAATATCAGTTAATATCAATTAATAATATCAGTCAAAAGTTGGTGTTACTTGTTTGAAATTACCTTTAAACTCCACAGGCATTTTGTGAAATCACTTTGATTTTTTTTTCTCTTACCTGGTTTGAAGAGTGCATTGTGTAATTGCTATCAGTATACAATTGGATTGTAGTATGTGTTCTGATAGGTTTATTAGGTATTTGCAGCTTTATTAATATTAGCAAATAGCAAACATTTATAAATATGGCATTACCTTTAATTTGACTTTAATAAGCCTAAAGAAAATGAATAGTGTAGAACATAAAACATGTAAATAAGGCATAATTCAAAGGAAAGACATTTGTGAAAACAACATACCCTGTTATTTTTTTCAGATGCTAAAGGGTCTGTCATCCAAGCACCAAATCTTGTTCCAGATGTCTTGACTGTAATTGGGCCTGTGATTTTCATCAATTTACCACATGCTGAAATTATAGAACAGAAGCTAGTTGAGTGAATCATAGCCAATAATTCCAACAGACATAATCATCCCAAAAGCAAAGAGATGGATATAGATGCCAATTTATGAGATTAACATCACATATTCAGAATGGAACATCATTCATATCGTGCACAATTCATTTGTCCAAAATTTGATTAGGCAATCGGTTTTTATAACTCTACACTTAATCTGTACATTGCTCTGCTATTATACCTGTTTTCTTTGTGTCTTCCACAATTTCTTTCATCAGTCTGTTATATTAGTAATTTTAATAATCTTCTACTTCATGGGATAAATTTATTTCTGTTTGATTTCATAACAATTAGTAATATACTTTTCTTAGGTTTTCTTTTTAAACATATTATTGATTGTATAAAATAATTATACCTTTATTGATGCATACAGCTATTATTATTTTTTTGTTGATTTTGTTTCTAGTGATGCCAAGGAATTTATCAGTTTTAACAGCTTTTCAATGGACTATTTCTGTTTAATATGTTTTTTGACAAGTTATTCAATAAAGAAAATGTGCATATAAAAACTGGATATTATTCAACATTACGGATGAATATAATATTGCAATTGGCAACAAAATAGATGAGAGTCAAAGCCATATAACTAAAATAAGTTAGTTATTATAAGTTAAAATTATAATAAATAAAATTATAATAAGTTAGTTAAAATAATACATAGAAAAATAAGTGCTAAATTTCTCATTCAAATTTCAAAAGTAAGAATGGGTTATTTGAACTGAAAATACTGAAAAGCATGAGATGGAAAAGGAGAAGGAAGAAGACTGAATAATAGATATCAAAATATAATTTAGTATGAGCAATATGTTTTGGTTGGCTATAGTACAACGTGGTGATTATAAATTGTATTAACAGAATGACAACGTATTATATATTTTTTAAGAACTGGGAGAGAGAACTAAAAAGCTTGTTCTTGGATTGGCAGAATTTACATCATTACTAAAAGCAATATACAGGTACAATGTGATTCTCATCAAAATCCCAATGACATGATCCTCACAAATAGACAAGATGATACATAAATTCAGCTGGGAAAAACAGAGACCATGAACACCTTAAATTATCATGAAGAGTAACAATAAATCTGGAGAAAACACAGACATACTACAGGACAGTGGTTGTGAAAACAGCCTGGTACAGAAACAGAGCAGATCAATGGAACAGAATAGAAACCCCAGAAGGGAACCCACACATGTATAACCAATTATTTTTTTTTAAGAATTATTTTATTTTTGTTGGAATGGTATTTATGCAGAGAGGGGGTGCAACAGAGAAGATCATCCTTCTGCTGATTCACTCCCCAAGTTGTCGCAATGGCTGAACTGAGCTCATCTGAAACCAGAAGCCCAAATTTTTTTCTGGGTTTCCTACGCAGGTGCATAGTCCAAGGATTTGGGCCGTTCTTGACTGCTTTCCCAGGCCATAGGCATGGAACTGGTTGGGAAGCAGGACCACTGTGATATGAACTGGCACCCATATGGGTTCCTGGTGCATGCTATGCTATGACTTGAGCTGCTAGGCTACTGCATTGGTCCCTAGCCAACTAATCTGTGATAAAAGAACGGAAAATAATCCAGGGGAAAAGACTGGTCTTGTCAACAAATGCTTTCAAGATGATTGGATAGCAGCCTGTAGAAGTAAAAAACAAGACTCCCACCTATCTCCTTATACAAAAATCAGCTAAAAATGGATCAGGGACCTAAATCTGCACCCAGAAACCTTCAAATAACTAAAGGAAAGCATAAGAAACACACGGTAAGATATAGGTATTGGGAAAGACAGAAAAGTCACCAAAACACAGGCAATTGAAACCTAAATAAAAAAATGCACTACAACAAACTAAGAAGCCTCTGTACAGCAAAGGAAATGATCAAGAAAGTGAGAAGCAACCAACAGAATGGGGGGTTATACTTGAACACTATCCAACACATAGGTTACTAATATCCAGGATTTCCAAAGAGCTTCTGAAACTCAACAGTAGTAAAATGAACAACCAAATGAAGAAATGGATTAAAGAAATGAGCAGGCATTTTTCATAAACAACAAACTCAAATTGCTATTAGACATATGAAAAAAAATATTCAGGGTTTGTAGCTCTGAGGGTGAATAGAAACAGAAACCACATTGAGTTTCTTCATAACTCCCGTGAGAATGAGCTACATTTGGAATCTGCCAACAACATATGCTGGCATGGATGTGGGTGCTGTTGTTGAAAGTGTAGGCTAACAGTGTCTAACGCAGAGCAACCACTGGCATGCGCGTGAAACCCTAACATTTGCAACAAAATAGTCCCAACTAGAGACCATTATACTCAATCAAATAAGCCAATCCTCAAAGGAGAAATATTATATGTTTAGTGTGATATAAGACAATATATATGAAAAATACAGAATAAATACATATAGAGGTAAATATGCATGTGCATATATTTTCCTTAATGAAGAGTGTGTAGTGGAAGCTTGTATACCAGGAAGTAAAGCTTCTCTACTCCCAAATACAAGGACACCCAATTAAATTATTCGATACACCTTTAGAATAGGATACCAGAGTATCTACCCTTGTATATACCTACAACTACATAGCAGAATTTTGGGCATGTTACTGTTGCTCAAGGTCTATACTATGGTAATAATATGGGAGGAAATGGTGGGATAAGAATGGGGAGGGAGATAGAATAGGTTAAGGCATGAATCTGTTTACCTGCAAAACTATATCATGGAAAATATTAATAACAATTTTAAAATGCACACAAAGAAAGAAATGATAAATGAGAATGCAGATTTTCAGATTTGATCATCTAAATATGAGGAACGAGAAGTTGCACCTTAAAGTTTGCTTTGGTTCATTCTTCTCTATATTTTCTCCTCATAAGAATAATTTACAACCTGCAGAGCACCAGGAGCTCTAGTTAGGAAGGCAATGAATAACTAGTAATTTAGTAATCAAGAAACCCGAATCGAATTCATTCTCCATGTTTGAAAGATAATGAATGTGATGGCAATCACAGAAGATAATGAATTATTTTATAATTTGTTCAGGTCTGATAAAGCAGGCCAAATTTTCAGAAAACTTTATGGTATTATCTACCAATGTAATAATAAGATTTAGGGTTAAATGTCTTTGGAGTAATTCAGCCTAAGGTTTGGAATATATCGGAAAAATGCATAATTACTGCAATATCAATTTGAACTGGTTTAAACATTATTTTTTTAAATTTTATTTTGGTACTCTTTACATTGTTGATTTGGGTAAAAAGTTACAAGGGCTAAAGGGAATATTGAGGAGAAGCCCCACGTACCCCAGGTCCCGGATGTAGGACATACTCTGAGATCCTTGCTCAAGTGGTCCCAGTAGTTCACCAGTTGTGCATTGCTGCCAATCTCGCCACTCCAGACACAATAAGACTGTTGAATAATCTACTGATTGGCATAATCCATCATGCAGTTTCCCTTTGTCCAGTGTTTCGCTGCCAACATATAGCTGTGGTGGTTGATTGACCTGTTCTATCTTCTGTCTTATTCTTGGTTAAGGTTCTGAGTCCGCCATTTCAGTTGACGGGATCCCCAAAGAAATTTTGAGGTGTTCCCAGACCAGATTTCTATGTGTACTAGCAAGTACAGGACCTGACACAGTCCATCGCCCCGATCAGCTGGTGGTTTCAATTGCTGGGTTGGTTCTGTCTTCATCCCCAACTTCCACTGGAACCAATGTGTGTTGTAGTCCAACCTGGTTCTGCTCATCACATACTCGGTCATTACACAAACCGATGGGAGTTGCAACCTAGTCAGAGCAACCCCCAAAAACCCCCGCCAGGCCCACCCCTGCCCTGATTTGCCATTGTGTGTAGCAGAGTCTGCCCCATGTCCCATTTGGCTCTCATAAATGTCGAAGGGTATTGGAGCTTAGTTCCATCCAACCAGCTCAACTGTCTAGCCCTCATGGATGTTGTTGATTCCCTCTCTGTCTAGCCACCCCAGCCCCTGTCCTAGCTGTTTTGTGCCCTCCCATGGCAATGGTAACCCAAGAGGGAGGATCCCACTATTTCCTTCCAAGGTCACTCTCACTCCCAGATTATGCTCTCTCCAGGTGGCCCTGTGCTTGTCCTTGACAGTATTAGCCCCTAGTGCCAGCTTCTGCTCTGGTTAAGCCCCAACAGCTCTCTCTCACTCTAGTTGTGCTAGCACTAGTAGGAATAGTCTGCCCATCCTGGCTCTTCCCTGATCTGGTCCACATGAGGTGTACACGTGCTGCAGCCCTTCCTAGTCTGGTCTATCCCCATCCCAGCTCATGCTCTCCAGTAGGAGTAGCTCTCCGGCAAGGGAACCACCCCCCATATTCCCTCTGCTAGCTCTGCCCCCTCCCTTCCTTGTTCTCATGCTTGCTGGTTGGGTGCTGCGGTCACATCGGTACAGGCAGCCTCACCTTGGCATTCTGAGTTGTGTACTGCCCTTGTTGCGACCGAACCCATCCCAACCCACACTCTGCTCTGGTGTTCGGATTTGCTAGTGGATGACGCGAGCTGTTTCAGCCTGGTCACCTCCAACCCATGCCAAATGTATGCAGTGGGACAGTTTCCATAACCTCTTTTGGGTTGTTTCCTTCTATGCTTCTTGCGCTTATTTGTGGGATCCGTGTCTTGTCAGAGGAGTTGCTCAGGCTCCTCCCTCAGGTCCCCTCCTGATGTCAGGTTTCATGCTTACCAGTGGGTCCATGGGCCAGCACTACTCAGTTCACCTCCTGTCCTAGCAGGAGCAGTGGCTTTTCTTAACTGGCTTTCAACCCATTCTGGTTCTTGCTGTTGGATGTTTCAGTCCAACCACAGCTCGTCCATACCCACATATAGCACTTACATGCCTCAGTTGGGGTTGAAACACAGGCTGGTCCGTCCCACATTTACCCTGGCCCTCCAGAACACCAGAAGGTGTTGCAGTCTGATCCAGCCTGGTGCGTC